CTCTCTCTCTCTCTCTCTCTCTCTCTCTCTCTCTCTCTCTCTCTCTCCATGTATATGTATATAAACACATTTTGTGGTAACAAAAGACTAGAATTAAAGTGGGTGCCCATAAATTAGGAAATGATTGACCTAATTAATAATAGCATTGTATAGTGGTTTAGGTTTGTAAAACACTTTACAAACATCTCATTCTGTCCTATTTTGTCTCAGTTATCATATGGTATATGAATCTTATGAAATATTGATACAAATGTGATTTAATATATGAGATTTAGAAAAACATGGGAAGTCTTCTGTGACTGTTAGAAAACAAAGTGAATACAACCAGGAGAACAAAATATGCGATGGCTACAAAAATGCAAATGAAAATAATGCTAAAAGCGACTAAAGCCTGACTAATTTTAAGGACCACTCCTGATTTCAGAAAACAGATGAGGAAATTTTGTCTTCCTTCTTTCAGTAGAGAAGTGGACTATAGGTGTGGAATGTTGTATGTGCTATCAGACAATAATAGTTACTGTTGATTCATTTTGTTTAAACTTTTTTCTTTGTTACCAGAGAAGGTTCAGTGGTTGAGGGGTATAATATGAATTAACTGTGCTGTAAAAACAAAAGGCCTCTAAAAAAACTTTTTTTTTTTAATAAGGCAGTTGGGGTTAAGTGACTTGCCCCGAGTCACACAGCTAGTTAAGTGCTATGTGTCTGAGGTCGGATTTGAACTCAGGTCCTCCTGACTCCAGGGCTGGTGCTCTGTCCATCTACCTGCCCAGGCCTCTAAAAAACTTTAAAATTAAAAAAACAAAAACAAAAACAAAAACAAAAAACGGGGCCTAAAACGAATTCCTCTCCTCTCTCCTCACCCTCCTATCTCCAAATACAGCATTTAATAGAAATTTGATAACAAGACCTCTAGAACTGCCACGGTATATCAATTCAATTAAAATATTTATTAAGTGCCAATAGTATGCATATACAATATATTTATACATATACAATATATATTTATTATTATATATTAATATATTATATATCATATATAATGTTATATATTAATATTATTATATATTAATATTATATATACAATATACAAATACAATAGTATGCAAAGGACTATGCTAGGCGGGAGGGACAGAAAGCCAACGAACAGAAACAAGAAATAGTCCATGCCTTCAGGGAGCTTACTTTTTATTTCTGTAGGCTCCTGAAATCCCTCCAATCAGAGGTAATTATAATTTTAAAAGGACTAATTATAGAACGGGCTAGGGAATACCATTGTTGGATGTGTCAACTCGCTCTGACCTGCAATTTCTAACTGCCCCTGTTCCTGGACAGAGACAGTTCCAAGGTTGCACTTTTGTACTTTTAATCTCTTATTGCCACTCCCTTCCTCCAGAAAGCTGTTCTGCTGACCCTCTAGGTGACCTTAGCCTTGGGCCTTTGCCTCTGTGGGCTAGAGGTAGCTAAAACCAGTACTGTGGTTTTACCCACTGTTCTATCTACCTACACACCTGCCCCTCCTGAGTGGATATAACTCTTGTTGTAATTCCCCTCTCTGGGCATCCCTGTGTGGGGTGATGCCCCACATTGTAATTCCTTCATCCTGAATAAAATGCCTCATTATTATTTACTGACTCAGTTGGTCTGAGTTTTTTATACTTGACAGATGGTAGTTTTGTTTTTTTAATTTTTGAGGCCAATCATGTATTATTCTTCTGCACATTCTCAACACACCTACCAAATAATACTTACTGTTCCTCATCTAAGACATGACATTACCCATCTCTGGGTCTATGCATAGACTGTCTGCTAAGCATGAGATACTCTCCCTTTTCACCTCTGCCTCTTAGAACACCTGGCTCCTTTCAAGGCAAAGCCCAAGGGTCATCTCCTCCAAAAGACTTTTCCTCCAGTAGAATATAAGCTCCTTGAGGTCAGGGACACTTTTTTTTTGGTCTCTGAATCCTCAGTATCTGGCACATAATTGGCACTTGACAAATGATTATTGAATTAAATTGAATTGTTGGTTATGATGTGTATATAAATGGTGCCCTAGGGGTTAAAGAGAATATTAAGGATTGCTTTTCTAGTACTTTGTTAGGCCCCTCCTGAGGGGGATGGGCTCATTCTGTAGTTCATCATGTAACTTGAGAACATCCTAAAATCCTTTTCCCCTTATCCTGAAATGTGATATAACTTCCCCTTATCCTGGACCATAAAATTCCTTGTCTCCCTCATCCTGTCATAAAATTTCCCCCATCTTCCTTATCCTGTCCTTATCTTTAACCACCATAAAACCCTAAAACTACATCATCATCCTGAACATCTCTATATAAGCTTAGCTCCCCAAATACCAGTACCTTTTACTCAGCCCCATTGCTACAGTAAAAGTCTATGTGCTTTTCACATTAATAAAGCTCCAGATGGCTAAAAGAGAATGTTTAAGTGAATTCTTTCACACTTGAACTGCTCTCCCAAATCTGACCTCAACAGTTATGCCCATTCATATGACAGCCTTCTCAGTTTTAGCGAGCTTAAATAGCCATTTTCATTGAAGGAATTAGTTCTACTTGAGAACTATTCCAGTGGCCTTGGACAAGTCTACTGGACCAAGCAGAATTTCTACTCTCTGGCTTTGTATCTAAAATGCAGATGGATGTGGTGAGGGGAGAATCTGGGGAAAGGTGGTTGAACTAGATGGTTTCTAAGGTCCTTTCTGGTTTTAACATTCTAAGATATGTGAGAGAGTCCCTAGCTTGGCTTCCTTTTCTCCTTTCCCTTTTCCTTTCCCTTTTCCTTTCCCTTTCCCTTTTCCTTTTCCTTTCCCTTTTCCTTTTCCTTTTCCTTTCCCTTTCCCTTCCCCTTCCCCTTCCCCTTCCTTTCCCTTCCCTTCACTTCCCTTCCCTTCCCTTCACTTCCCTTCCCTTCCCTTCCCTTCCCTTCCCTTCCCTTCCCTTCCCTTCCCTTCCCTTTCCTTTCTTTTCCTTTCCTTCTTTCTCTTCCCTTCCCTTCCCTCCCTTTCCCCTCCTCTTTTCCTTCCTTCCTTCTTCATTATATTCTCATTAGGAGGTCAGACTACTGTCCCAAAAGAATCACAACTCACTGGCATAATTCTCTGAAGTTCAGCCAACCAGGCCGACTACTGCCAGAGACAAGCACTTTTGTCTGGAGGGAAGGGCAGTCAGCACTAATGGTGTCCACCTGAGGTGCTAAGGAGTCATTGGTAATGATGGCTTTGGCACCAGATGCCTGCAGTCGGTACTGGATATCCTTTACAGTTAGCTGAGATATTCCAGGGATGATGACAACCCCTGAAAAAAAAAGGAAGAAGACAATGATAATTTAGGGAATTAATCATTTTAATCCATAGAGAAACAAATGAGCATCATGGTGTAGTTTGGACAGCATTGGGTTTGAAGTCAGAACACTAGTCTAAATCCCAATTCTGCAATTTATTGAGTGATAATGGTCAAGTTACTTCTCTTTTTCTAAGGCCTAGTTTCCTCTTCTATAAAATGAAACAAATTTCTTTTTTTAGCTCTAATTCCTATGTTCCTAAATGCCTGTAGATATTTAGAAGCCATTCTGTTTTTTTTTCCCCAATCCAGATCAACACTTTGAGATCAAACTTCAGTAGGAACTTATATTTTCATTTGAGGCAGCTGAGTAGCATGGTAGATAGAATACCTGACCTGAAAGTCAGAAAGATCTGAGTCCAAATCCAGTTTCAGATACTCACTAGCTATATGATCTTGGGCAAATTAGATAACCTCTGCTTGTCCCAGTTCCCTCATTTATAAAATGGAGATAAAGATACCACTTACCTGCCCCCCCCCATTGTGAGGATCAAATGGGATAATAGTCGTAAGGTGCTTATAGCACAGTGCCTGGTATACAATAATTACTATATAAATGTTAATTATTATTATATCCTTGGAGCAGCTAGACGGCACAGTAGATAGAGGTCCAGGCCTGGAGTCAGGAAGACTCATCTTCATGAGTTCAAATCTGGCCTCAGACACTTACTAACTATGTGACCCTGGGCAAGTCAGTTGACCTTGTTTGTCTCAGTTCTTCATCTGTAAAATGAGCTGGAGAAGGAAAGAGCAAACCACTCTAAAATCTCTGCCAAGAAAACCCCAAACAGGGTCATGAAGAGTCAGACAGGACTGAACAACAACAACAACAATTTTATTCTTATTTTCCTATTTCCAATAATGTTGAGTACTAGGAATGCCATGACAGCAGCAACCTTCCATCAATATTCCCACCTTTCCTAGAAAATGGCTTTGTTCAGAGTAGGTGAGTCAGTTGGCAACACTCTCCTACTAAACTTAAAACACAGATTCAAGATTTCATTAATGTGCATATTTTCCTGATGCAAATCTTAGCTCTAATCCACCCTCCACACAGCTGGCAAAGCACAGGTCTGGCCATGTCACTGTCTACTCAATAAGCTTTCAGTGTCTTCCTATTAATTCTAGGAACAAAAAGCAAACTCCTCTGTTTTGATATCTGAAACCATTAACAGCCTGATTTCATCTTTTCTTTCCAGCCTTATTATTCATCTCATCTTTTGATACACAAAATATTTTGATACATTTGACTCACCATCCAAACTGGCCTGTATACTGTTCATTATAAACAGGACTCCATCTTTAATCCCTGTGTATTTGCACTGGCTGAAATGCAGTCTCTCCTGACCTCTGCCTCAAATCACTCGCTTCCTTCAAAGTTCACATCAAGTGCCACTTTCTATAAAAATGTTTACTTGATCTCCCTAGGTGTTAGTGCCATTCCACTTTCAGTGGTGCTATTGCTTGGGAAGATCAGGAAAGAATTTATATAGAAGATGGCACCTGAGCTATTTAATATACAGGGTGACTTTTGGGACATAGTCTCTCTATACACACATATATGTATGTATATATATATATATATATATATGTATACACACATATGTATACTATTCACACATTTTATTGTTGTTGTTCAGTTGTGTCCTTTTTTTGTGACCCCATTTGGGGTTTTCTTGGCAAAGATACTGGAACAGTTTGCCATTTACTTCTCCAGCTCATTTTACAGATGAGGAAACTGAGGCAAATAAGATTAAATGATTTACCAGGGTCACATAGCTAGTAAATGCTAGATTTGAACTCAGGAAGATGAGTCTTCCTGACTCTAACCATTATACCACCTAGCTGCTCACTACTACACACACACACAGACACACACACACACACAGACACACACACACATATGGTCTTTGTATTAATATTTTTTATTCATGGATACATATATTCATATATATACAAACGCATATACACATATAAATATGTGGGCATACACACATACATATACATACATATGTAGACATATACAGACATATCTACATATATACATGCACACATACCTATTTATACATATATTCATATGTGTGTGTATATCTATATCTACCTTTCTATCTATCTATCATCTACACCAGCTAGACTGTAAACTCCTCATGGATTAGGCTTTTGTTTTTTGTCTTTGGATAGAAAACGACTAGCACAGTGGCTGGCACATAACAGATGCTTAATAAATGCTTTTTGATTGATGGATCAATTGATTTCAACCCAGCCATACCTTCTACTTTATACATGGTCCTTAGGAGCTGTTATAGCTAAAACAAATAAATAAATAAACCAACCAACCAACAAACAAGCAAATAAATAGATAGATAGATAGATAGATAGATAAATAAATAAGTTAAGCACCCAGAGAACTCTCTGAACTAAAACTGTTTTTGTTTGTTTGTTTGTTTTTTCAGTTAGGCTGGTTTTTGGAGGACACCTATACCCAGGCCTATTGTACCTGAAACTTTTCTATTTTGATAGGACTTGCAAGAACTCATGGTGGGCTGTCAAAGTCTTTGCAAACTATCTTGGTCCTAAATTAGGATCTGTGCCCAGATCAGATGTGATAACAATGGAATCTAAGAAAGTCCCAGATTTCTAGGATTTGAGGGTATCAGCCTGGTGAACTAGTTATTATGGAGGATATAGATAAACTTGTGCACTGTGAGTTTGGGAGGAACATCTACTCCACAGAAAAGGAACCAAAGAAACTGAGCTACAAGTTTGCATAGAGATCCTGAGGTTGTATTTTATTCTCCTTACTGTCAGCAACAGGAAGAACCTGACTGATCCCATCTTGAAGGAGGCTGACACTACCTTAGAGATTTCCTGCCAGTGCAGGATAATATAAGATATTATTCTGATAAAGATTAACTACAGAGAAAATATTATTCCACTGGAACAAACCGGATTTTGACAATTTCTGAGACCCCAAAGTAAACACATATTCCCTATTTCCAGTTCGTTGCAGAATACTATATATATACTCTAAGCAAAGGTAAAAAGCTATAAAAACTCAATCCATACTTCTAGCTGAAGCCACTGATAGTCTAAGTGGTCTTCCTTAACACACTAACACATTTCTTTTACTTTTAGTCTGGCTACTTCCTTTAAGTCCTGCAGATTTCATAGTGGGTGAGATCCTCTTTAAACTCTCATGGAATCCAGGATGCAAAACTCCTATGACAATATGGTTCAGCAGTGGGATGACTAGGAATTCCCAGAAATTCATAGAATTTTCCTAAAATTTCCTAGAAAATTCCTAGAAATTCCCTAGAAATTTCCCTAGAAATCCCTGGAAATTCCCAGAAAAATGGCTTTGATTACCACAACCCAAGACAGCGAGTATGTGTACAAGATAAGATTTTTACCCAAGGGTGATTACTGTGGTTACTGGTTTACTCTATGACTTCAAAGGGATTATAAGACTTATTTTCCCTTTAATTTTGTCTGTGAGAATGCCAAACTGAAATCGTGATTGACTCTTAGTAAAATACTGCTCTATCTCCTTGTATCTCTTTTGACAATGCATAAGGAAATTTTCACTAGAAACATATGTCTCTTTTGAGAATCTGAGTCTTTGCCATTCTTTGAATTAGACAAGGATTTTATGCACATATGTATGAAACATCCATGTCATGTATATATTTCTTCTGTCTTATGGAGGAAGAAATATGTGATTCCCACCCTCCCTCCCCACCCCCACCCCAACCCTATTTTGCAAAAAATTTGCCATTGTTATCTTCCTTGCCCAGGGAAATAGTAAGCCTCTTGAAGATTTGGCCAGAATATCCATAGAAGTGTTAGTAACTTTGTCAAAAACAGAGACAATTGGCCTCAAGATTCCTTTATAAGCAGTAGATAAGTCAGATCTAACTTAGCACTAGTCTTGGCTCTGTCAATTTCCTGTTCTGCAAAATGTGAGCAGTATAACTTAATCTTCCTTGCACAGATACTGGATTTGTTGAAAATTAAGGGGTTGATCCACTTTAGCTACTTTGTTCAAGCCTTCAGAGATTCTGGCTGCAGAGTGTTCTCTCTCACTCATCTCTGAAAGTATAATCTACCATAAACCAATTTTTTTTTCTGTCTCCATCTTGAAACTTTTCTTCCCCTCTCAAATCATATCATTGTTGAGAAAGTGATCAAGTTACTTGTTTGACTATCTGCTGTGGAGATAGAATGGTAATTTTGGCCATTTGGTGAGATCTATGTCAAGAGAATTTTTCTAGAACACTGTGAGAGATTTCAGTGTCCTTTGGGTTAAAAATATATTCATGTTGTATACTTCAGGTGGCACACACAAAAGGAACCAATTAGTATGTGTGGAATGATTAATTTTAAACTGCCAACTCAGATGAACCAACTATATCATTAAATGTTAGCCAGTTCTATGTTAGTAGAAACTTCTACTTATAAAGTAGAAGGTATGACTGTTGAAATTAATTGATCATCAATCAAAAATCAAGCCAGATAAATGGTTGCAGATCACTGTTGAGAGAACTGGAGCCATTGAAATCATACTTTTTTAATTCCTGAATTGAAGGAGGAAAACTCTACATTGGGAGAGAATAAAGATAGCAAACCCAGACATATATCTGTCTGTCTGTCTTTCTGTCTCTATCTATCTATCTATCTATCTATCTATCTATCTATCTATCTACCTATCTATCATCTGTCTCTTGCTCTATCTATCCATTCATTCATCCACCCAAGTGATGGTAGGAGGAGCAGTGGGTAGAACACGGTGCTTAGAGTCAGGAAAATCTGAATTCAAATCCAACCTCAGACATGTACTAGCTGTGTGACCCTGGACAAGTCACTTAACCTCAGGCTATTTTAGTTCCCTGAACTGTAAAAGTGGGGATAATAATAACACCTCCCTAAAATAGTTTTTTGTGAGGATTGTGACAAAAAATGTTTGAGGATACCTTGGTAAGTACTACTGTCAATCAATCTGATGCAGAGATAAGGAAAAACTGCAATTTATTACACTCAGAACATAGGCATCGCTAAACAAAAATCAGTGAATTTAGGCCATAACTTGCAGCAATCTCATACAGGAGAAGCAGGATGGGTGCAATGGACTTTCAAAGAGCAAAATAAGAGAAGATAGTGATTTACAGATCAAAGTACAGATGGCAGAAATAGAAGATCTATAGCAGGTAAAATAGGAAATTTAGCTGGTTAACGCTGGAGCTGTAGCAGATATCTCAAACTTGAATTTGTAGACATGTAGATCAGGAGTTCCTGATCTACATGTCTACAAATTCAATGGTTAACACCTGGTTAACACCAGGGCTGTAATTGGACTCAGTTTGGTTTTGCACACTCTATCTAGTTATGACTTGCTCATCTTAAGTAAATGGCAGTAAAAAAAGTTAAGCCAGAAATTTTTATGACAGATCAAATGAGATATTTGTTAAACACTTAGCACAGTGCTTGACATATAGTAGGCACTTAATAAATGCTGGTTTCCTTCCTTCATTTCCTTTTATCTTTACATCTCTCTATCATTTTATCTTGTCTGTCTATTGATCTATATATTTTCACCCAGAAATCTGGACTATCTTATCTTTTATTTTATCTTATCCTTTCCTATGTCTTTATATCTACTTTACTCAAACTTATGATTATTCATGTAATGTTGAAGATGAAACAGACCTCAGAGCTCATCTAGTCCAGTTCCTACCTTTCACATGTGCAGGAACTAAAGCCCAGATAGGTTAAATTACTTGTCGAAGGCAAACAGCAATTTCATGGCAGGGCCAGGGGTAGAACTCCTGCAATCCCACTTTTCCATTATAATTTTTTATAGTGGAATTTTTGACTGAATAGTGTGATTATTCATTCCATTTCTTATTGTTTAGTTTCTTCATTTTGTTATGAACACTGGAAATGAAGTCAAGAAACCTAATCCAGGCTTTTCTATTTGCCTGCTATGTGACTTTGGGAAAATCATATTGCCTCTCCAAGCCCCAGTTTCCTTATTAGCAAAATAGGAGTAAGAATGTCCATCCTATCCACCTGAATGACATTGTGAGGACTTATTGAGATAAGGCATATATATTCACTTAGAAAAGCACACAGAGACATACCAACTTCTTTAAGTTAACAGGTAAGGGCTGAATCTTCTGACTTGTTAATAACCAGTGTACATGGCTGTTTGAAGTACTTTTAGTGCCTAGGAAGCTATGGACTACAGTAGGGACAGGGGAATGAGGAGGGAGCTAGATCAAAGGTCATATTGGGAGAAAGGGAATTGATTACTACTGAAAAGTCTAGTGAATATTAGTGTGGGTGATGACCCCAATAATAGCCTCCCCGCCTTCCTAAAAGAAGAAGCCTAGGGGAAGCTCAAAACCTTGAGTCAGAGAAAAATGAGTAGTAATGGTCCAAAGTCCTTTTCAAACTGTGAAAAGTTTGAGTACCAACTAGCCTCCAAGTGACCAAGAATCTTCTCTCTGTGCACCTGCACCCTCATCTCACATGAATAAGTGCTGATCCCCAGGTCCAGGCTCCTCATTCCCTCCCCCTAATAATTGGTCCTGCTAGACCTAGATAAGAACCCTATAATAATCTACCAAGTTTTACTGCTTTTTAGTGAGGTTTCCCCACTTAATCTAGGGCCCTAATAAGGTGCCCAACTCCATCCAGGACCCCAGTAGGCTGCCCCAACTCTTCTCTGACTGCTCCTTCATTTTGTTAATATCTCCATTCAATAAAGTCAGCTTTCTTTACTGTCTTGTTGTGAGTTCTCTATTTCCTTGTACTAGACTTCTGATATTCCTGAACTCTCCCAAGTCTATAGTAACATGGCACCACTGCATGGTCAATATGCTGATTTATTTTTCTTCACCTTATTTATTGTTACAAGGACAGGTTCTTTTGGGGGAGGGAGAATCATTGGGAAGAGGTAATGAAATGAAAAAAAGAAAAGAACATCAACCTCAAGAAAATTAATATGTATATATGCATACGTGTGTGTGTTTGCACGCATGCATGCACACGCACGCATGTATGTGCTTATCAGATTGGGAAGAAGAGGATTACTAGTGGAAGCATATTGAATATCAGTACGAGTAATGATCCCAATAGTAACTTCTCCACCTTCCTGAAAGAACCCCAGGGAAAGCTCAAAGCCCACTGTGTCAGAGTAAGACTTTATTCTGCTATTTATCAATATCAATACTATATACATACTACATATATTTATATGTATATATAATATATGTGAGAGATGATCTCTCAGAAGTGAAGCCTCCTCAAAGGGTTAATAGTTTTAGTTAATAGTTCTCACAAAGGGCAGCAATTAGGAGATCAGTGGTCATTTGGAGAGAGATAAGGTCAGAAGCCAGATAGTAAGAAGAGTGGGAGGAGAGAAATTGGAGGCACCTGTTGTGGATGGCCTTCTCAAGGAATTCAGTTGTGTTGTTGAAACACACCCCCTTCTGACCTTGTCAACCCCCCCCACCCTGTTTTTAAGCACGTAGATAGCCCTACCCCCAACCTAAACTGTTTACCCTTGCAAGACTTCCAGCCTTTTCTTGTCTCTGGGCAAACTTGTGTAACCACCTTTGTTCTCTGTTGCTGGGGAAGATTTCCAGGAATAGATTGTGCTCCCTGAAGCCTAGCCAATGGGATAAGGGGAAGGGGGTTAGGGAGGAGGAACTCGAGTTAGGGTGTAAATAAGCCTTGCTTTCAGTAACCAACTTGTACTCGTACTCCCTGGCCAGCACCATTAGGGCGACCAGGGGTGGTACCCTTTCTCATGAGAAAGCAATAAACTCCTTTCGGCTTTCAAGGTATCTAAGTCTTTACTTTGAATTTGAGTAGTGGTCTCTGTCCCACACAATATATGTATAAATACTTTCTCATTCTCTAGAAAGTCTCAGTAACTGCTCAGGATAGGGGAGTGAGTGCAACAAACTACTTCTCCCACTCTGATCTAACACATTCTACTTTTTCTCCCCTAACTTCCCACCTTTTGCTATACCTAGAGTTAACTAGTTTTCCAGTCTGCCACAAGTCAAAGGGAACCATTCACTGACCTGTTCTCATACAAGCCACAGTCACCAACCAACATTCAGGGATCCTGGGGAGAATCGCCAGCAATCGATCCCCTGGCCGCAGGTTGCACACTCTGGACAAAACATTGGCTGTCTTCCTGGATTGGATCCCCAGCTCTTCATAATTCCATTTTACCTCAGCTCCCTGACCATCAACCCACCAGAAAGCAGGATTTGGGGACTTTTTTCCAGCCTGGGCAATGACAAGGGATGAAAAGATAACAGTATCTATTAGCCAAAGGTAACCTTCTATCTTGTGGTATCAGGTTTTAGTTGGGAGCCCTAGGTAAAACTTTACCAAGGGGGATTGGGCATCTAGCATCCAGCATCTAGCCTCTAGGCATCTAGCCCTTAGAAATGCCCTCATAATGCACCATAGGTTTGAGGAGTTGCTTCATGGGGCCCCAGACACTATAGGAGTTGCTTGGATGATCATTATGCTTCTGCCTAAGTTTTATCTCTTTTCTGTGGACTTTCCTCCTCTTCCCACCAGAAGATAAGTGGACTACATGGGAAATTGACCACATCCTAAGGCCCAACTATGACATCAGCAAGGAATTTTGTGACTTGTTGGAGTACAAAGAGCTGTCTTCCTCTGGTCCCTTATATATATAAACCAAAATTGTGTGTGTGGGAAATTATTCCTCTTCCTTTTCCTTTCCCATCCAACTCAACATTAAGTAAATAAAATTAATCAGACTTCTAGTCTCTTACTAATCAGCTATCAGACTGATCTTCCTAAAGCACAGATTTGATCATGTCACTCCCTGACCCAGTGAACTCCAGTGACTCCTTATTTCCTCCAGAATAAAATATAAAACCCTCTGTTTAGCATTCAAAGCCCTCCTCCCCCCACATCTTTCCAGCCTTCTTTCACTTTAATTTCCTCTCCTCCCTCCCCCATAATCTGTGATCTGGCTATGCTTGCCTCCTTGTTTTGTTTTTGTTTTTTGTTTGTTTGTTTTTTTGCTTTTTAGTGAGACAATCAGGGTTAAGTGACTTGTCCAGGGTCACATAGCTAGCAAGTGTCGTGTGTCTGAGGCTGGTTTTTTTTCCCCCTCCTTGTTGTTCTAACGAGACTCTCCATCTCCTGAATCCAAACATTTTCACTGGAATTCTCTTCCCCTTCATATCTATCTGGCTTCCCTGATTCCTTCCAGCTAAAATTTTACCTTCTACAGGAAGCCTTTCCCAATTCCCTTTAATTCCAGTGCCTTCTCTTCGTTAATCATTGCCAATTTATCTTGTCTGTAGCTTTATTGCTACATAGTTGTTTGCATGTTGTCTTCCCCTTTGGGCTATGATCTTTTTGAGGGCAGGGGCTGTGCTTTGGTTTTGTTTCCCTAGTACTTACCACTATGTAGATGCTTAATACATTCTTGATGACTTGATCCTATTAATTTTATTTTCACTCCCCACAGCAGCATATAGTATGATGGATAGAATATACGGGAGGTGTTTATGATCCTAAGAGGTGTTGTGATTCAGTGGAAAGACTGTTGGATTTGAGTTGGAAGTCTTGGGTTTGAATCATGGCTCCATTGCTAACTACCAATGTGATTGTGGGCAAATTACTTAGCCTGTTTGGGCTTTATGTTCTTCTTCTATAAAATGAAGGGGTTGGACTAGCAAGCCTCTAAGGACCCTTCTAGCTCTCAATCTATGACTCATGGGCTCCAAATTATGCCCTCAAAGGAGCTTGAAGAAGGAAGGGCGTGGTCATCATGAAGAAGAGAGAAGATGCATGTAACTGAAGGGAGGAGAGAGAGGGTCCAAGGCCAGGGTGGGTTTGGGCCCTTTGGAAGTAATGTATCATACATATTCGACCCTCCCACAGGAATTAAGAGGATTCAGCAATGATGAAAACTGGCGGTTATTCCACTGCTTAAGAAAACTGCTTTTGCCTGAAATTCTCTTTATCGTACCATTGAACCTCACTGTCAGAGAAGAAAGGGCCAGCGTTCTCTGATGAGTCTTGTCCAAAGGACAAATTGACATTGCCAGTGCATAAACCTTGAACACTGTCTAAGTAGGATCTATGATTTTAATGCCTTGAGGGTCAAGGACAACTTCCTTTTCTGGCCCCTTCTATATCTGAACAGCTCAAGGTGGCAAAAGAAAGCAATCTTCTCAGGACAGTGGCCTGTTGTCTTCCCTCTGCCTTAGGGCTCAGGGTCTATGGCAAACGCTGTTAGGGTAATGTCTGTCAAAATCCCCCCAACTTCACCTTTTCCATCTGACTCCACATGTCTAGCACATCACTGGCAAAATTAAAATACTCTGGCATTGGCTGCTTTCCTAGGTAAATGGCTTCAAAGTCGGCGAAGGTCTTCTGAGGGCTGGGCAGCCCTGTGCTCACATAACGGAGAGGCCTACAGAAGGCTTGGGAGCTCCACAGTGGCTGAAGGAGCAGGTGAGCTAACCTCAGCTTCATAGTTCCACAGACTTATTTCAATAGGTAGCAGGGTAAACACAGGATCTTTGTACCTAATGTCAACAAAAGGAAGCAAAGTTAAGTCATTACAGGTAGGGGGTGTAGTGGATAAAGCACTGGGCTTGGAGTGAGAAAGATCTGAGTTCAAATGTTTTCTTTCACTTCTTAGATGTGTGACTCTGGGCAAGTCACTAAAACCAACAGCCTCAGTTTCTTCATCTATAAAATGAGGATAATAACATCTACCTTGAAGAGTTGTGAGAATCAAATGAGTATTTTGCAAACCTTAAAGCACTAATATAAATGCTAGCTTTTATGAGCATCAAGCTTATCTTTCTTGTTGAGTAATGATACTTCTCTTATGGTGACTGGTAATTGTATCTGCCTATGTAACATATTTATTTATAAGCATTGTTCAGGACTTAGGGTTAATAGTTATTGAGTGTATGTAGGGTGGGGACAGGGCTTACCAAAAATGAGCTTTGCTAATGTGATTGGCACATATCTACTAAAATTGTAGCCCTAGAAAGTTGGTTGAATAGGCCAGGAAGTATATTAACTTTAAATTAGAACTTAGGGAAACTTGGGGAGCTGTGGAAGAGGGTGTAGGTGGCATTGAATGCAAGTAATGGGAATTTTCTCTGGCACTTTCCTACAATTCTGTGGTTGTAGAAATTAAGTGGCAGAGGATTCCATTACACTGATACCACTGGGCATTTGGTGCAGGCGGTGGGGGGGGGGCAGTGTGGAGACCAGCAGCAAGGGAGAGAGCGAGTATATTTTTAATCCACTATCATAATTTGATAATTTTTTTCTCTCCTCAAGTCACTTTTGCCACTTCTTGTCCTTCTACCTCACTAGTGGACCTTGACACATATCTCACTTAAAAAATGAGTCTATCTCTGGCAAACTCCCTTTTCTCCTCAATTCTACACTCTCCATAATCTCAACAGCATCCCTCATTCTATCCTCTTTTACTCTCTTCTTGAAGAGGCAGCCCTTCTCCTTGTAAACACTAACCCCTTTGCTTTTGCCATTGGTTCCATTCCCTCCCATCTATTCTGGCAGACTACACCTTCAATCATCCCCTATCTTTTCCTAATTTTCTATCTTACCTTATTCTCCTGTCTCTTCTATACTACTTATAAAACACCTAGCTCTCTCATTCTTAAGAGAAAACTTCACTAAACTCTTCTATCACCTCAAGCTATTGTCCCATGTCTTCTCATTCACAGCCAAACTTTTAGAAAAAAGCTATCTATATTCTTTGCCTCTGTCTTTTTTTTTCATTTCACATTCACTTTTTGACCCCTTGCAAACTGACTTCCAACATCATTGTTTTAACTAAAACTAAAACCTCTCCAAGCTTACCAGTGATCTATTAACGACCAAATCTGATGGTCTTTTCTCAATCTTTATCCCCCTTGACCTCTCTACAGTATTTAACACTATTGACTGTGGTACCCGGAACTGAACACAATATTCCAGATGAGGTCTGACAAGGGCAGTGTACAATGTAACTATCACCTCCCTATTTCTGAAAGCTATACTCCTCTTAATGCAGACCAAGATCACATTAATTTTTTTTGGCTGCCACATCATACCACTGGATTCATATCCCTCATGCTTATTATTTGTTGATTAGGAAAATGCATTTGGTTTGTAGAACTGAATGCTCACTTAAAGTCCTATCTGTACATCAAAATCATTCATGATTCCTTGTAAGATAAAACAACAGAAATAACCCAGTTCAATGACCCTCTGGTCATAAATTAGAAAAGACATAAACCAGAGAGATATATGCTTGCCAAAGTTATTTGCCACTGTGATTAAAGAAGTCCAGCACAGATTCAAACTTAAAGAGGGATTCTCTGTGCACAGTGAGGTCCTTCAGATGATCCTACTGTGTTTATGTTCTGGTTGCACCAATTCCTAGAATATTGCAGAGCCTTCTGGAAGAGAGGTAAGCACTCAAAAGCACTCTTAAGAGGTTGATCTGACCATTGGCAATCCACACAGGTAGGACCAAGTGGATCTGCTGCCTAGATGATGACATGTATTTTGATGGAAAACCTCTAGAGCTTGTTGGTCAAGCTCTAGAGGTTTTCCATCAAAATATATGTCTGTACAATATATCTAGGAAAGTCAATACAAATAGACAATGAGTCAGGCCAGAACAAAAGAGTATGAGGAAAGCAGGGAATACCTTGAAGAAACTACAAAATTCTGAGATACCCCTACAAACAAAGGGCCATCTTTTAAATATCAACATTCTATCAGAGTTTCCATATAGCTGCAAGTCATGGAACACAACAATCTCTGAATATTGAAAATGTTCATCACATAGAGGACAATGGAGAGGCATATAGGCAGTTGTGAGCTAATGGCAATATATAGTCAGTGAGAGACTTTGAGTAAAAAAATGAATAAAAGATGTGATTTAACAAATGTATGATTAGAAGAGACGATGAGCTGGTTATGTAGTAAGCGTAAAGGATAAAGGATGGATATCCTGAGTCCTTTAATTGTATCCTGAAGAGATACAAGTATAATCAGGAGAAAGTGAGGATGGATTCTAATATGTTGGGTAGTAGATTGAAGAGAAGATACGGAGAAGAGCTGCATGTGATGTGTAGACATGGATGGGTCTGCTGCTAAAGTTAGTAATTTTAAGTAGTTTTTTAGTTGATTCTCTAGGGTTTTCTAAGTATACCATCATATCATCTTCAAAGAGTGATAGTTTTGTTTCCTCCTTGCCTGTTCTAATTCTTTTAATTTCTTTTTCTTCTCTTATTGCTATAATTAACATTTCTAGTGCAATATTAAACAATTAGGCTGATAATGGGCATTCTTATTTCACACTTGATTGTATTGGGAAGGTTTCTAACTTATCCTCATTATAGATAATGTTTGCTGATGGTTTTAGTTTAGATATTACTAGTGTTTTTTAATAGGAATGGGTGCCATATTGTGTCAATGGCTTTTTCTGCATCTATTGAGATAATCATATGATTTCTGTTGGCTTTGTTATTGATATGGTCAATTATGCTAATAGTTTTCCTAATATTGAACCAGCCCTGCATTCCTGGTATAAATCCTACCTGGTCCTTGTATAATCCTTGTGATATTTTGCTATAATCTCTTTGCTAATATTTTATTTAAATTTTTTTGCATCAATATTCATTAGGGAAATTGGTCTATAATTTTCTTTCTCTGTTTTGGGTCTTCCTGGTTTAGGTATCAGCACTATATTTGTGTCATGAAAGGAATTTGGTAGGACTCCTTCTTCACCTATTTTTCCAAATAGTATTGAGATTAATTGTTCTTTAAATGTTTGGTAGAATTTGCTTGTGAATCCATCTGGTCCTGGGGAGTTTTTCTTAGTTTTTCTTAGTTCATTGATGGCTTGTTCAATTTCTTTTTCTAAGATTGAGTTATTTAAGTATTTTATTTCTTCTTTTGTTAACCTGGATAATTTTTTTTGGTAGATATTCATCCATTTCATTTAGATTGTCAAATTTATTGGCATGTAATTGGGTAAGATAGCTCCTAACAATTGCTTTGATTTTCTCTTCATTTAGTGAATTCACCCCTTTCATTTATGCTACTAGTGGATTGGTTTTCTTCTTTCCTTTTTTAGATCAAATTAACTATTGGTTTATCTATTTTATTGTTTTTTTCCATAAAACCAGCTTCTAGTATTATTTATTAGTTCAATGATTTTTTTACTTTCAGTTTTATTAATCTCTCCTTTGATTTTCAGGATTCCCAATTTGGTATTTAATTGGAGATTTTTAATTTGTTCTTTTTCTAGTTTTTTTTTAGTTGCATACCCAATTCATTGATCTGCTTTTTCTCTGTTTTATTGATGTAAGCAATTAGATATATAATTTTTTCCCTAAGTATTGCTTTGGCTACATCCCATAAATATTGGCATGTTGTTTCATTGTTAACATTTTATTTAATTAAATCATTGATTGTTTCTATGATTTGTTCTTTGGCCCACTTATTTTTTTAGGCTTAGATTATTTAGTTTCCAATTAAATTTTAATCTCTTTTTTCATTGTCCATTATTGAACGTAATTTTTATCACATTATGATCTGAAAAGGCTGTGTTTACTATTTTTGCTTTTCTGCATTTGGTTGTGAGGTTTTTAAGTCCTAATACATGGTCAATTTTTGTGTAGGTGCCATGTACTGCTGAGAAAAAGGTATATTCCTTTCTATTCCCATTCTGTTTTCTCCAGAGATCTATCATATCTAACTTTTCCAGAATTTTATTCACCATTTTAACTTCTTTTTCGTTAATTTTTTTTGTGAAATTTATCTAGTTCTGAGAAGGGAAAGTTGAGGTCCCCCCCCAGTATAGTTTTATTATCTATTTCCTCCTGTAACTCATTCTACTTCTTCAAAAATTTAGGTGCTATACCATTTGGTGTATATATGTTTAATCTTATTGACTTCATTGTCTATGGTACTTTTCAGCAAGATATATAGTTTCTTTCCTTATCTCTTTTAATAAGATCTATTTTTGCTTTTGCTTTGTCAGAGATCATGATTGCTACCCCTGCTTCTTTGCTTCAGTCAAAGCATAATAAATTCCGCTCCAGTCCCTCACTTTTACCCTGTGTGTATCTCTCTGCTTCAAATGTATTTATTGTGAGCAACATATTGTAGGATTCTGGTTTTTAATCCATTCTTCTACCCACTTCCATTTTATGGGTGAGTTCATTTAATTCACATTTATAGTTATGATAACTATGTATTTCCTTCCATGCTATTTTTTCTTTGTTTATCCCCCTTCTTTTCCTTACCTGCTACCCTTTCCCTCCTGATAAGTGTTTTACTTTTGATCACTGCCTTCCCCAATCTACCTTCCCTTTTATCATTCCCCTTCTATTATCTATTAATAGAAGGAAGACCCTCTTTTACGATCCCTGTCCCTTTTTACTTCTTATAGGGTAAGATGGATTTCTGTATCCAGCTGAGTGCGTATATTATTCCCTCTTTCAGCCAATTTTGATGAGAGTAAGGTTTAAGCTTTAACCACCAT